CCAAAAATATATTTAAACTCAAACTATTTAAACTTTCATTCACTTCTTCACTTTTACTATCTTCTCTATTCACTCTTTTTTCAAGTTTCGTTTTCAAAAAAAACCCTTTTCATCTTCTCCAACAAACTCGTGTGAACAATGGCTTCTTCATCAAACCTCAAAAATCTCAGTGCTCCTGAATCTGCATCAATGGAACAATATGAAGAACCCATCAGAACGCTTCTCACTCCTGTTGATAACCTGGAAGTTCTCTCAGAACTGATCATTGATTTTGAGAGTCTACAAGATAATGGGTTCAATCTCTACGAAGACGTGACTGCTCAAGGTTGGAATAAGTATTTTGACCGTCTGTTGGGTCCAACATTTCCCATTATCGTCAAAGAATTATGGATTCACGCTACATCTTCCAACCACCAGGTTACTTCTTATGTTATGGGAAAGAAAATTGTGATAACAGAAGATATTATTGGGAAGCTCATTGGATACAATGGTGGTGGAGTCAAATGCATAGATATGGCAGAAAGATGTTCTGACCTAAAATCAATTACCAATGAAATTTTCACTTCTGGACAACCATCAAGCAAAATCAGAGATTTGAAGGATCATCACAGAATCTGGGCCATAATCATTCTAGGATGTATCAATCACAGGAAGCCCACAAGCTCTCCTGATTACATCAACATTGATCAACAGTTTCTGATCTATTTCACTGCAAAGAAGACAAAGATTAATCTTCCACACTTGCTCTTCAACCATCTCAGAACAAGTGTGAAAGAGACCAGAGAAGAAGAAAGAACTAAGAGGGATTGGATTCCCTTAGGAAGACTGATATCAGATATTCTAACAGAAAATAGGCTGATAGAATATCTGACAAAGGCTCAAGAAATAAGAACTTTGGAAGCAACTGCTGGGAAGCCTCTGAACGTAAAGAATCTGAAGAAAATGAACATCATTGAGAACATTCAGAAGGAACCAACTATTGCTTCTCATGAGACCATTACTTCAAGGAGGATACCTCTGAAGTATTTTCCTCTATTCTCTGAGATAGACAGCAACCCAGAAGTCATAGTCAGATACCTTGAAGCTTGCAAGGTTGATGGGACTGCTCCAGAAATAAACATTCAAGATCTACACAGGCCAACTCCAGAGGTTGTGATAAAGAAATCCAAGAAGAGGAAAGCAGCAGGAGAAGGATCCTCTTAGAAGGCACCTAAAGATGCTAAAACAAAAGGTAATCCATCTTCTATTTCTGTTATAGAATCAATTGTTGTTACAACATCTGAAACCATTCCCTCTCAAACAATAGAAAATCCTTCACCCCAAACCTTTGAAGATTTTGACATAGAATTTGATCCATCTCACTCCCGAAATCAAAATCCAAACCCAGAACCTCATCAACCAGAACTTGCAAAAGTTCTATCTGACATTGAACTATTTGATTCAGACTTTCAATCTCCACTCCCAGAAAATCCAAACTCTCAACAACTCCCAGAAAATCCAAACTCCCAACAACAATCAGAAGATCCACAACCACACTCTCCACAACCAGGACATATGAACCCCAACTCACCACAACCAGAAAATAGACATTCTCTCTCTCTCTCTCTCTCTCTCTCCATCTTCTGAAAACCCATCTTCTGAACCAGAAACCCAACACACTGCCGTAAACCAATCTGAAGACTCTCCTTCAGATTCTGATACCACAATCCAAATTCCTGGAATAACAGAACCTCTTGCGGTTCGCATGCCTCTCACTATCCATGATATTCCAGAAATCCCCTCATCCCTTGAATCCATACCACCAAACTCCCCTAACAGACCAATTCTAATTCCTGACTCTCCCACTCCTTCACCCATCAACCATCCAGCTGAAAACCTCAGAATTATCATTGATCTACAAGTGCTGGAACGACTTGCTTCCACCTCACACAAAATTGCCATTCCCAAACCTAAACCAACCAAATCAGATATTGGTAACAGTCTGTTGATTTTTGAAACAGAAATGCATGAATGGATCAACTCTTTGAAGCAAGAAAGCCTAGAGAATTCTAATCATGCTGCTTCTGATTCTCTCTGGGAAAGATTCAGAAAATGGTTCAACACTGAAACTCTGAAGATGAAGGAATTGGGTTATGAAAGGGCTCAGCAGAACTTCAGTGATCAGCTGAAAGCTTTTCAAGATCAAGTTCTGAGTCAATGGTTCAAGAAAGAAATTCTTCCGCTGGATAATGCTCCTTAGAAAGAGCACCATCCTTCAGAAGTTGCTGAACCAGATTCAGATAGTCTCTCCCTGACTAATGCTCCAGAAGACATGGTTGTATCAGAAAAAGTGGTTCAATCAGAAGAAGCTGCAGAATGTTCTGAACAACATGCAACCCCTGAAGAAACACCAGTTTCCTCTCTAGTCATGTAAACTCTGGAAGAGTTGAAGAAAGAGAATGCTTTAATCCATGCAAGACTGGACAAGCAAGAGGATACGAACAAAGAGATCAAAGGAATTCTGGATAAACAAGAAGATACTACAAAGGAAATCAAAGATATTATGGGAAAGCAGGAAGAGTCAAGCACTCAGATCAAGAGCTTTTTGGAAGCGTTGTTCACACGCCTTCCCCCTCCTTCTTAGATTTTTCTTTTAAAACTGTTTATCTTTAATTTTTATCTTTACCTCCTTATTTCTGAAACTTGCCATTGCATTATGTTTTTAATATAATTCATTTTTTTGCTCTGATTATATTGCTTTTTGATACTTGACAAAAAGGGGGAGAAAGTAAGATATTTTCAATAACAGTATACCGAGACAAAAGTCTCAAACATTCTAAATTATTTAACCTCTACTTTCTGAAAAGTTTGAACAGGAACAAATTCTGATAGGAGATGCAGCAAAAGCTCTGGCGAGAAGGAACTTCAGGGAAGTAATCAACTCAGGGGGAGTCTCTCTTAAACTTTTTATTCTCTTCTTTCTTTGAAAATTATAGTTTTTGTCATCATCAAAAAGGGGGAGATTGTTAGAACATAGTTTGATTCTACAACCCTTACTTAGAATTTTGATGATAACAAATACAAAGAACAAATATGCACCCTAAAAATTATGTTATTTTGTATGCAGAAGTTCTGACCAAAGCAGCATCAGAAATTAAGTTATAGAAGCTACACGCTGAGGTAATCAGAATTTATGCTGAAAGAATGATGATCAGAACCTACGCTTAAGTGAAGTAAACTCTGATTCTGAACAAAAGGAATATATTCTAAGGCATAAATGTTCTGAAGCATCAGCAGCAGGCAAGGATGTAAGATTCTGAAGCGTTACTTTACAATCAAGACAACATCAATTACAACGGCTTCTTTCAGACAGGATCTTCTCAAAATAGAAACTGCATTAATGTCCATTATGACGCTTAAAGTTGGATAGAATTCCATTGCCTATAAATACAAGCTAAGAGACCAAATCGTTAACGATTTTTTTACTAACGCTACTGCAACATACAATTCAAAAACGCTGCAAGCTTTCTCTAGTATTATTCCACGCTCTAAAATTGTGTAAATTATCACAGTTGTGACAACTGTTTTTGTAACAAAAAACATCTACACTGAATTCTTGTATCTTTGATTAAGAACAGTTTTCCTTGAGATTAACCGGATTGTGGTTGTACTCAAGAAGACTTTGACAGTTGTTAAAGTAGTGATTGTAATCTGTTTGAGATTAATGGATTAAGACCTCGTTGGAGAGAGGCGAAATCATCTTGACGGGTGGACTGGAGTAGTTTGAGATCAAATGAACCAGGATAAAAATACTGTGTCTTTGCGCATTTGATTTCAAGTTTTCAATTCAACCCTCCCCCCCTCCCCCCTTCTTGTGTTTTTCACTTCTTCACTAAAGTCCCACATCGATTAGTAATAGAGTAAATGTTGGGTTTATAAGAGAAGTGATTCATACCCTCGTTGTCTTAAGGTTTTGGATAGATATGTGGTGTCAAGGTCTCTTGTAACCATGAATGTTTGGTCCATTGACACTTTCGGACCTCGCTCCCAGACTTCCTTAATAAGTGGACTTTCACTCTTGAAACCCAACGAAATTCAAAAGACATAATCATTATCTTCAAATGACTAAGTTCAAAATAACTAGATCAAAAAATATAATCTCACGAAAAAATCTAATCATCTAAAATATTATGTGTTCTCGTATCATGATAGTCATATAAATCATCATCCTCATTCTGGCCGTCACCGTCTCCGTGGAGAAGATTAACAACGATGATACTAGAGGGACAAGAGGGGAAATCATAATGGAGATGATAATGTAAAGCTTGAAAGTTGCAGATATTTGTTGTGAAAGGAGGAGACTTATCGCGAAAGATGTAGTTGTTTCTGCTTTAGAGTTAGGAGAGGGGGGACTTAATTGAAATAATAAGCGGATTTTCACTTAAAAAATCTAACCCGTTTAAACATCCTAAAAAAAATTGATGAAACACTATTTTTATACGATCTTTTTGTAGAAACCTCGATTTTGATCACGTCATGCACAGAAAAAAGATCTTTTTTCGATTGTAACACTAAAAAACATCCTCAATATATAAGATAGTAAGATCTTAAGATCCAACACTTAATTTAAACTACACTGATTACAATGTATTACTCTTTAATCGTCAAATTTTGTAACATTATTTGAGATTAAAAAAAATAATCTACGATTTTTTTAATAAAAGATTTTAATGGTAAGTATTGAGACAAAAATTTCTCACATTTTTTGTGGGGGATAATTAATATAAGGGAATATTCATGTTTGTTGCCCTCTAGATTTCGTTTGTTTTCACATGCAAGAAAATAAAAGGTGAAAAATTAATCTCATTACAAAAGATAATGTTTGCAAAACCATATCCTCACTTGTACCACAAATTCCACACCACGTGGCACAAACAAAATCACTAATCCATATTGAACACTCTTTATTATTACAACAACTTATTGTGTTGCCCATTCCAAATAATCAAAAAAGAATTACAATGGCTTCTTCAATTATGGCTTCTGTGAGTCTCAAACCAACTCCTTTCACTGTTCAGAAATCTTCAGTGAAAGGACTTCCTTCAATTTCAAGGCCTTTCAGAGTTGTTGCTAGTGGTATCAAGAAGATTAAGACTGACACACCTTATGGTTAACTAATTAATTAATTCTCACCTTTTTTTAAGATTAATTTCATGTATTATAGATTATGATTATTTTATAAACTATACTATATATGATTTGTGTTTTCAGGAACTGGTGGTGGCATGGATTTGCCTAATGGACTTGATGCTTCTGGCAGGAAACAAAAGGTGATTAATTACCAATTATGTTTCCTAATTGAACATATTTCATATAATTCATATACTAAGACTCTAGCTTATAATGGATAACTTGTATAGGGTTGCATGATCAAAATAGACTCGTGATTACAATTATTGTTAATTCTCTCGTGAACTTATATTTATTTACTAAATAATTCGTTAATTTTATCAAACACTTCAAACTTCATCGATAAGCGATCAACGATCAGTTAGTATATCTACTATAACTTCGTATGCTATTAGGGTTTGTTTAATTAAATAAATAATTTATTTATAATTTATAACACAAATGTTTATTAAAATAAGTGTTTATGAACGAGTTCGCATAAATTGTTCTTAAAACATAAAATACATTTCAATTATGTTGATATATGTTATAAGTTGTTTTCAATAATTTTCTTGAAAAATTTGTAAAATAAATTCAAAAAATATATAAAAATGTTATAAGTTGTTTTGATATAATCTCTCGTAAAGTGTCAAAATTTATGGCAGTAGATAACTTCAAATAAGTTAATCCAAACATACTCTAGTTAGTTTCCATCTCGTCTTCTAACTTCAGAACTTGAATTTATTTCAGGGAAAGGGTGTTTACCAGTTTGTAGACAAATATGGTGCTAATGTTGATGGATACAGGTAACAAACTTTTTTTTCATTCTAGGTACTAATCTCAATTATATAATTTTTTACCGATCTAATCAATTTGTATTTTTTTCGATTTTATTATGCAGCCCTATCTACGAGCCCAAGGAATGGTCTGCCACCGGTGATGTCTACGCCGGAGGTAACAAACTTTTTTCCCTTGTTTTGTAACTTTTATGTGTTAAAAATTGGATCGAATTGATCGGTTCAAGTGGTTGTATTGGGAATATACGAATTTAACCTTGATGTCTTATAAATTACAGGTACGACTGGACTGGCAATCTGGGCAGTAACTCTAGCTGGTCTTCTAGCTGGAGGTGCACTCCTTGTCTACAACACAAGTGCTTTGTCACAATAGACTCTGTTAAGTTCATATTTAAGTTGTAACAATATTTCATGTAGCTGAAGGATATACTTATCAAATTATTGTGGACATAGTTCCTTCTGTTCTGTTCTATAAATGTTGTGTGGATTTCAAGAAAAATAATCTGTTTATATAACCATGCATCACTATGTTAATCTTATTGTGCACATAGTTCCTTCATTGGTTTCGGATAATGTTCATTCATTACTAATGAATCTACTTTATGACATGGGAGATTATAAACCAATCTTTGTGAAAATCTACTCTTGGAAATGCAAATTTCCAATTTACTCCACTTCTCAAAATATAATAACATTTAAGTTTCGGGTCATGATTTTGTTAACTATTATTTAAATGTGCCAAATCTACAAAGAGTTCTATTTTATCACGATTTAATTTTCTTAGATTTTGAGATTCTATCTATAGATTAACCACTATTTAATTGTGTTAAATCAGATAGAATTTTATTTTAGGGATAAATATACGTTATTCTCCTGTCATTAGGGAAATTTTGTTTTTCTCCCTATTAATTTTTTTTAATAGATTTTTCTCTTATAAAACATAGATTCCATTTCCACACACCCCTATTCTCATGTTTTGTTGACTGGGCATGGAATCATCCTTGTTAGCATTTGTTGATTTGATGACTGGATTTAAATGAGTTGTCAAGTCATATTTAAATAAAAATAAAAACAGAAATCATACAATTGTGTTGTTCTTTCCTATTTACCCCCCGTGAATGTTAGGGTTCACATTTGGGACCATAAGCGAAGTGAAGAAGAAGAACTCTGTCGAAGAAGACGAAAACATGGCTGACAACGATACAGACATTGGCGATTTGATTCAGGTTAGTTTGAATATCCGTTTATGCTGCTTGAGTCAAACATGCATGTGCAAAATATTTATTAGTTTCGCCTTTGATTTCATATACTTTAATCTTTTAATGTTGTCTTCCACCATGGAGGTGAGTTTGTAAGGTTGGTTGATAGTGGAACCATATACAGGGGTGGTCTTTCAACAATAGTTTATAAGCAAGACATTGAAAACTGGACTATGAGTCACATTCGTAGTCTGGTTAATGGGTGAGGTTACTTAGATGGCTCGTACAAAATGTGGACGAAAATCATTGACATAGATGAAGATTTTTTTCAAATTAAGAATGATTGTGATGCTTATAATTTCTCTGCTTATGCTACGCTATGCAAGTGGATGGAGACATGTTTGTGGAACATGATGTACATGGTATAAAAGTAACTAGTAGTAGGCTTAGGTGTGTGAATGATTTTGCTGGATTAGATGTAAGTGATGAAGAGGGAGTTGAAGGGTTGAATGACATTGAGGATGAAAGGACTACTGCTATTGTAGATGGATTCGAAGGAATTGATGTCACTATACCAATTAGGGAGGTTCCAATAATAGCTGGTTTGTTACATTGTCCCAATAAGAGGAAATTAGAAGATGGTGATTATGTTAGTGAAGAGCTAGACAACTCAGATCCAGATAACTCTGAAGATGAAAAAAGGCCTAAGTTTGAGAAGTTTGGGAAAGAAAAATTTAATAAGAATTTTAAGTTTATGTGGGATATGCAGTCAATTTCCTAGATGACTTTATGGAGGCCATTCGTGAGTGGACAGATTTAAATGGAAAGAAAATAAATTTTGTGAAAAATGAGGGATACGGGGTAAGGGTAGTGTGCAAGGCTAATTATGGTTTTTCAATGCTTTGCTCTAGGGTGGATCAGAAACAAACTTTTTCCATTAAGACTATAAATGACACATACACATATGTTATGGTTTTAGACAATAGATTTGCAAATTCAAGGTGGATGGCCAAGTATGTTGTGAAGAAAGTGCAAACAACTGATACAGTGAGGATCTCTAATATAATACAAGACATGAGACAAAATCATTCAGTGAGTATAATTGTGGCTCGGGCATGAAAAGCTAAGTTGATTGCGCAGAAGATAATTGAGGGGGATGCATATAAGAAATATGCTAACCTGTGGAGGTATGCTGCTGAACTGCAAAGAGTAAATGCAGGAAATATTATGAAGATCAACATTGATAGGTACCCCAATGACCATTATTTTCCATTGGCCTTTGGTGTTGTAGAAACAGAAACAAAAGATAGTTGGAGGTGGTTCATACAATTAATAATGGAAGATATTGAAAAAGACAATAGATATGTCTTTATTTCATATCAGCAAAAGGTTAGTAGTAACTAATTTTTATTATGACCATATTTTCAAGTGTTTTTTGTGTTTAAAATTAACTCAATTGTATCACTGTCACAGGGTTTGATAGCAGTTTTCAAAGAGATGTTTGAAAGAATTGAGCATAGACTATGTTTGAGACATTTGTATGCAAACTTCAAGAAAAAGTTTGGAGGTGGATCATTGATAAGAGGTCTAATGATGGGAGCAGCAAAAGCAACTTACCAATAAGGATGGATGCAAAATATGAATGAACTGAAGCAACTAGATCCAAAGATTTGGGCATGGCTAATGAGAGTACCTCAAAAGTGTTGGTGTAAACATGCGTTTAGTTTTTATCCTAAGTGTGATGTACTAATGAATAACATAGTTGAGTCTTTTAATGCCACCATTTTAGTAGCTAGAGATAAACCTATACTAACAATGTGTGAATGAATTAGAAAATACTTGATGAATAAGTGCAATACTTCTGCCATGAAACTTGAAAAATGGCCATACAAGATAATGCCAATTCCTAGAAAGAGATTGGATATTGGGGTAGCTATAAGTGGACATTGGTTACAAATTTGGGCCATGAATGAAAAATTTCAGGTGACACATTCTGATAACAAACAACAATTCATTGTTTATATAGTCAAAAGATCCTGCACTTGTAATTTATGGGAGTTAGTAGGGATTCCATGTAGGCATGTTGTTGCAGCGCTAGGTGTGTGGAAATGGAATCTGTGTTTTATAAGGGAGGAATCTAAAAAAAAAATTAATAGGGAGGAAAAACAAAACTCGTCCTAATGACAGGAGGTAACGTATATTTATTCTTTTATTTTATTATGGTTTAACTATGATAAATATGTTTTTAGACTTTTTAGTCACGGTTTATGTGTTAAATTTTAGATCATATGAAGTAGTCGGTTTTAGACGCTCTCAAAAACAACTTTGAATGTGAATGTAGATATTGATTAAAGTCATGATGCATTATTTTTGTGCATTTCATTTTATAGAAAATTAAACATTAACGAAAGGCGCATGGACAACTAACCCTTTTTTAAATGGAAAAATCAATCATCTTAAAACTAAAATATATAATTTTTTAAAGAGAAAAATAAATCATCTTAAAACTAAAATATATAAATTTATGAAACAATATTAATGTGTATGACCCTTTGAATTATTTATAAAAATTTATCATCTCTAGTGTTAGAAAATTAAAAGTTTTAAATATGAATAATATATAAAAAAAAATATGTTAATTATCAGAATATATAACACAATTTTTTTCATGTTTGACCACTTTGTCTAAAACGGAAAAAATCTTCAATTCTCAATCGCTCAAGTAGAGAAACCTCAATCAAATTCACACGTATATTTTTGAGATGCAAAATTTGATTAAGATAACATATATGCCCTTTATAAAGATTTTGGCACACTTAAAAGTTGTACATTGATAACTGAATCTAACGAGACATTTTTTTCAAATAAAAAATTGTAATAGATTCTGCACTCAAAATTGACGATACTTGATTAGCAGACTCGGAGTTAGTCGAAACATCTAACGCGCTAGAATTAGAGGGCACACCTACATGAATTTTACATCCAAAGCAAACAATCACTCATTCGAAAAAAATACCTATCAAACGCGATTAAGAGACAATAAATTTGATAATACAATTTTGTTAGTTTGAAATATTCTAATGTGATTTTGTTTATTGACATTTAAATAAAACATTATTGTTGAAAAGAGAGAATGAGAGACATTTAAATAAAATCGTATGTATGAATAACAGTACAAAGATTGTATTATATAGTAAAACTAGTAGGATACACATGCGTTCGCACGGGTACCGATATGATACGCGCATTTGTTTTTATAATATAATTAAAATAAAACAAATTTTTTTTAAAAGATAATAAGTCGTGCCTATAATTCTTTTAATCTATAAAAATATTTGAATCAATAATATATATTTTTTATATAAATATTATTATTGTTTTGGAATTGTTGTTAAATCAATAGTAAAGTTGTTATATTATTATTCAAAATTTTGATCAATAACTTCATGTTCCTGTTATTATTCAATATTTTGATCAGTAATTTTATGTTTACGTTATTATTAAATATTTTAATCAGTAATTTCATGTTCTAGTTAATATTCAATATTTTGATTAGTAACTTTATGTTTCCGTTAATATTCAATATTTTGACCAGTAATTTAATATTTCGGTTAATATTCAATATTTTGATCGATAACTTCATGTTCCCGTTAATATTCAATATTTTGATTTGTAACTTTATGTTCTCGTTAATATTCAATATTTTGATCAGTAATTTAATATTTTCATTAATATTCAATATTTTGATCACTAACTTCGTGTTTCCGCTAATATTCAATATTTTGATTAGTAATTTCATGTTTCCGTTAATATTCAATAATTTGATCAATAACTTAATGTTCCCGTTAATATTCAATATTTTCATCAGTAATTTCATGTTCCCGTTAATATTCAATATTTTTGATCAATAACTTTATATTTCCGTTAATATTCAATATATTTATCAATAACTTCATATTCTCGTGATAAATTCTAAATAGTCAAATATTATTTTTGTACAACATAAACAAAATCCTATCATGATAATAAACCATTATAATAACTATTACTCCTAATGTACTGGTTCCTTACTCTTTAAAGTTTCTAACAAAATTCTTTAAAAAAAAAAGTTTCTAACAAAATGAACATGAGTAAATTATTACTTATATTTCATATTCTTCACTACATACAATGTTATAGTCTTTTTTTACTAAAATGATTTACAAACATGCTGTCATACTATTTATAAGGACGAGGATTGTTTGTCTTGCTTCCAATTAGATGCCAACATAAGGCCCACTAATGGAGACAGGCGGGCCATTCTCCACAAGCTAAGCATCTATCAAGCTCAATACTATTTTCTAGAGTACAAAATTTGCAACACCAAACTTTGAACTTTCTAACATCTTTATGCTTCTTTGTTCCAAATGCTTCTCATAACAACACCAATGGCTGCAACAAACATCAGCAGGCAGCATCACTCAGTCATATTCAATGTACATGATATCGGTTTTGGTCCTAAAAAAGCAAAATAACTAAGCCAAAAAATCACTTGATATAATGAGTTTTGGAAAAGGTGAGGGTAAAAACCGAAAAACTCCAAGTGACTTTCAAGTATTTATAGACAAGTGTCACTTGATATGTTTTCCAACACGTTCTATGATCAAATTTATTTCAAGTTTTTATTATGTCATTCAACAACACTGCAGTAAAAAATATGGAGAATCATGCTGCTTCTGTCGCAGTTGAGAGTCATAAATAATTATGCACAACTGCACACATTTGACTTGAGTGCAACATAAAAAAGGTAAGCAGAGTCACTAAGATACAAAAATATGTGCATTATTTCACACTTGCGACTTTAAAGTTATCTAAGTATAACTAACTACTCATTTAAGTGACAAAGTTTATGTTATAACCACCTTTCTTTTATAACTGCAAAAGATTAGTCAAGTGATGTCATGTGTAATACGTTAAGAAAACTGACTTGAGATGTTTTGTGTTTATCGCAATTGTTGCGGTTAGCAAGAGTTGTCACCGACTTTTCTTTTATCCAAATAAAGGAAAGAGTGAAAAGAACAAGAAAGACCTTTGAGATTATTTATTGAGTTCGGGAGTAGATTATAAAAAGGGAAGATGTTAGCACACTTTTCATCCATAGTTATCTATGGACTCTTAATTGCTTGCTAGATCACTTGTTTTGTTTGAAAATGTGCTTTGTGATGGTTTTGAAAGTATTTTGAAAATGCGCATTCGTTTAGGCGAACTTTGTAATGGTTCTTGTTTTTTAAGAACGTATACAAAGTGTTTGACTTTTGAAAATATTTCATATTTTGAAAGTGTTTGGTGTGTGTTTGTTTTGAAAGTGAGCAAACAACTAAGAACGTTTCTATCTACTGAAAAGTCTTTTTTTGTTTGTTTCTTCTTCCTTTGATATTGCTATCTCACCATTGATTGGTAAGAAGCCTTATCTTTTGATATAAAAGGGACATGCGTGGATCATCGTATAGTCATGAATAGCAATGTTGTGAGATATCGTAACATTTCTCTTGAGGGATTAAGATCACTTATAAGGCAACATTTGAAGCGTCATCGATGGACTATGATCTTGTATTTTTGATTTTTTTTTTTGCTAAGACATCTCACATGCATAACATGACCATTATTTAGGCACAAGTGAAGTTAACCTTAGGGGTACATGTGTGAATAGTGTATTTGATTTGCATGCATTTAACCTTTGATTAGGGTTATCTACTTGTTTATTTTTATCTTCCCATGCAAATCCTAATTACTGGCATTTATATGAAAGCAATAAATTGCGGAAAGTAAATATTCTATGGTATTACAATCATTTGGGGATGGGGTATACAAATTTACAAATGAGGGATGAAAGTAATAAAGTTCTAATTATAGTATTACAACCATATTGAATATTGTAAGATAAAATGTGCAAGAATATAAAAACAATGTGAAAGAAAAAGAAAATTGTTTTTGTTTATGAAAAGTCTTGATTTAATTAAACTAATAAAATTAAAGAATTTAATTAAATAAAATCCCTAAATCCTAAGTTGATTTAATTAGAAAAGAAAGTCAAAGACAAAACTAAGTTAAAAATTAATTTAATCAAGAAAAGAAATTTGTTAAGAAAAATGTTTTTTTTTGTTTTTTAATAAAGAAAAAAACCCTAAAAGATGCTTCTTTGAATAAATCATGAATAATGAAAATAAAAATATTTTTGGTGAGATTTTTATATATTCATAAAATAGACCTAATAAACTAGTAGTGTGCAAAAGATTAGTTCAAAAGGAGTTAATTTGATGGGTTAAATAAATTATTGAAGTTTGTTAAAAATGTAAAATGAGTCAAGTGATAAAAATATGATTTTAGTCCTGCCAAGGCTTGAACTCAAGACATTCAGGTTGCTAGCTCAAAAGAATACCACTAGGTCAAGTATGTTTCCTTGTCAACCATGCGCTTGCGTAATATTAATATGAGAAGATTGCTTCCTGAAATCACAAAAATCACAAAAATAACACAAAATATACAAAAGGGGGATTCACTAGGGTTCGAACACGCGCCCTTAGGATAAGAAGTGACATGAAACACGCATTGCTTGCCACTGGGATGACTGTTACATCCGTTAGTAAAACAACAATCATTAAATATAAAATGAACTTAGATGTAAAAATTTGAAAATGGTCAAGCCCTCCTTCTTCTTCCTCCTGCACACTAACAGTTACTGTAATAACATATATTTTCCATTTTTTTTCAAAAAAAACTCTCACTTCCTCATTTCTCAACCAAATTAAAAAATGTAAAAATGAAACTTGCTTAGAATTTCACAAGGATTTCAAATATGTAATTAGTTTTTATTTATTCTCACGATAACTCACGAATTTCTACCTGTACCAAACTGAAAACCTAAATATCCAAAAAATTTAGTTTCAAAATTCTCATCCCACAGTCAATTAAAATGAAATTTAAGGATATGGTTAGCTTTATAGACATGATATCTATATTTTATCTTTTTTAAGTAAGTGCAAATGATGTTTGTATCAAGATTTTAAAGTTGGAAAAACTTACCTCTTGATGCAAAAATTCAATGGCCTCTACACGACTTCCAGAAGCAATATGATGATTGCTTTAGCTTCCTGGGACCTTAGTGAGTATGTTGCAACTTTTACTTTTCCTTGAAAGTGTCT